GGCCCAGTCGCATCCAAGAAGAACAAAAAGAATGTTACACTGGGAGAAGAATGTTGCCCATGGGCCTTCCCTGGAAAGGAACATGCTTCATGATGTAGAGACCAACCCGCCTGCCGGGAGCCCACCCAGCTTCCCTACCCAGCTTGTGGTTTGAGGGGTGCCACTTGCTCTTCCCTCTGCCTGCATGTGCTCCTCCCCACACTACCTCCCCCCTGCCCTTTGCACAGCCAAACTTTTTTCCCTTCTCAGGTCTCTGCACAAATAATATCATCTCTGAGAAGCCCTCACGGACCATCCCAGTGACAAACAGGCTTTCTCTGGCCTCCAGCTTGCTCCTCTTCACCTTCAGGGCAGTTTGGGTTGTTTGATTATTAACTGCTTGACTGGGGGGAGCCCAGGCTCCCCAACCCCACAGGCTGAAACTGCAGGGGAACCAGAACTGTGCCCCTGCTCTTCCCGGTAAATACGGTAATTAGTGGCAGGAGCAGGCAGGATGAGCAGCGGGGAAACTCCAGCGCCGCTTCTGCTTTGCATATAGTTTTTCTTCCCACACACAGGAGCCCTTGGAGCCCGCTGCTCCACATCTTGCTTTTCTCACTCCCCTACCTTTTTCCTTTGGAGCTCGCAGAGCAGGACGAGGTGGTCGTGCAGAGACGCTCTTGTATGTGTGCGGCCTTGGGTCCCACCCACCGTACCGCACACAAAATGCAAACAGTTGCCGTTTTCCTTCTCCTTTGCTGCTTCTTGCTGTGTGATTTCTTCACAACAAATGACACCATTTATAAGGTCCAGCCAGGGCGGCGGGAGAGATAGTAAAGCCGGCAAGGCACTTGCCTGGCACGTGGCCAACCTGTGTTTAATCCCCCGCATACATGGAGTCCTCACAGCCCCGCCAGGAGTGATGCCTGAGCTCAGAGCCAAGAGTAAGTCCAGAAAACAGTTGGGTATGGTCCAGAAAGAGAAAGAAAAACTTTTGATTGTTGTTTTGGGGTCACACCCGGCAGTGCTCAGGGATTGATTATTCCTGGCTCTACACTCAGGGATGACTCCTGGCGGTGCTCAGGGGACCATATCGGATGCCTGGGAGTGAAACCACGTTGGCCATGTGCAAGGCAGATGCCTTACCCGCTGCACTATCACTCCAACCCAGAAAAAAAGTTTTTTTTAATAAATATAAAATACAGTTGGGTGCATGATAACAAACAGATGCACCCAGAACCTCCCCAATCTACCATCGATCAGCCCGATGTCCCCTCCCCCCCACACACACACTCACGCTTTCTTTGCTACAATCACCAACCCCTGCACCTGATTTTAGGTGCATCCTCTCTTTTCCCAGAATTTTGCCCCTAGTCCCTCTTTCTCCCTCTGTAGAAGGGCTTTGGGGTCCTCTGTACAGATGGACAGGGATGACCCAACCACATACCTCACGCTTTCTAGCATGCATTTCTTTTCCGCGCTGAAACCCACACACATGCACAGGACACTCAGGTCCCTTGAGCATCACAAGGAGCGATTCCCAAGCACAAAGCAAAGAGTAAGACCTGAGCGTAGAGACAGGAACAAGCCCTGAGCTTCATCAGGTGTGGCCCAAAACAGAAAGAAAAGAAAGAAGGAAAACACGGAAGGAAGGAAGAGAGAGAATGAGTGAGAGAGGGGGAAGGAGTGGGAGAGCAAGCAAGAAAGAAGGAAAGGAAGGGAGGGAGAGGGAGAGAGGGAGAGAAAGAAAAAGTAAGCAAGCTGCCAGATTAAGCTACTTGCCTTGCATGCAGCTGACTCTGATTTGATCCCAGCACTGCATGGTCCCTCAAGCACCACCAGGGGTCACTCTTAAGAACAAAGCCAGGTACAGCCCTGAGCACAGCGAGGGATGACCCAACCACACACCTCACACCAAGATAAAAGAGAAGAGAAGAAAGCCTCTCAGAAGCCAGTCTCCACCTGGACCTTTGCTTCTCTGAAGGCGGAGAAAGGGGACAGATGAACTTTGACGGCTGTCTGCAGGGCTTGCTGGGGCCTGGCCCCTTGGGTTTCAATAAAAAACCAAGCCACACTGTGGAGTATGGTGGGGGGGGGGGAATGCTTCCTAAATATTTACTCCCCGAGTCTTGGAAAGACTGAGTCAGACTGACTAAAGCGGGATTTGAAAGGTTACGTTTTAGTTTCATTTATTTTTGTGTGGCCCCCAATCCCATCCTAGGCCCTCTCCCATGCCAGGCCTTGCTCTATCACTGAGCCACAGAAAAGCATATTTTCTTTGTTGTTGTTTTTCAGCTCTGGGGCCACATCCAGTGGGTTTCAGGGTTCACTCCTGGCTCTGTGCCTAAATCATTCCTGGCTGGGCTTGGAGGACCATAGGGGGTGCCCGGGTTGGAATCCCAGTCAGCCATGTGTAAGGCAAACACTCTACCCACTGTATTATCGCTCTGGCCCAGAGACACATTTTCATTACCCACCTTGAGTGTCCCTGACTCATCCTCAAATTTGGGTGCCACAGACTGTTGGGGACCTGGCTGCAAGAGAAGACCAGTCCAGAAGAATTTCAAGAGGCGAATCCTGAATGTGAGCAGATCTGATCAAAAACACAGAGACCGGGGGCCAGAGAGATAGTACAGTGGGTAGGGCGCTTGCCTTGCATGCGCTGGCTTAGGTTTGATCCCTGGCACCACAAGCATCACCAGGAATAATTCCTGAGCACAGAGTCAGAGTCAGGAGTAACCCCTGAGTATTGCTGGCTGTGGCCCCCAAGCCCCCACAAAAGACAGGGACCAGTCTCAAGAACCTGGAAAAGGCCTGAAATTTTCCTCCCACGGCACTGAGAGGGTTAATGGAGGAGAGACTGGTCAGGTTGAGACTTTCATGAAGACTCTGATTCTTGGGGTCTGAGTTATAGTACCATGGGGAGAGCACTTGCCTTGCAAGCAGATGACCTGGGTTTGATCCTGGCATCCCATATGATCCCCCGAGCACCTGCAGGAGCAATTCCTGAGTGCAGAGCCAAGAGTAACCCCTGAGCCTCCCCGGAACCCCTGAGCATTCCCAGGTGTGGCCCCCAAATAAACAAACAGAAAAAAAAAGACCTTGATTTTTGCATGTGTGTGATCATACATGTGTGCGTGCACAGGAAAACGTCTACCCCCTTGGTAGGAAGAGAAAGAGGGGACTTGGCCTCCAGCCTGTGGATTCTCGGAGCTGCCTTGCTTTTCGGCGTCTGGCTCAAGGCCACTCCCGGTCCTGGATTCCCATGGGACAGCACTGACTCCACACATGGTCCCTGCAGGCTCAGTCCCTTCCACCTTCTCCCCTGCCCCCAGCCACCCCTCTTCCAACAAGGAGCGGGCGGGGGTGCTGGATGCCAGGTCCAGGTGTGGGAAGGATCTCTGGGCACATGAGGCTTGGTCTGCGGGCATCCTGGACTCTGGGAATCTCTGGGTGTGGTTCCCCCTACTCCCCACTTTGGTGTGCTCCCTCCTTTGCCACAACAACACATCTCTCCACCCCTCCTGCCTCAGTTCCCCTCAGTTCTTGTTACTAGTTTCCCCCTGGGGGATTGAGGGGTGAGAGGAGGCAGCTGAGAAACGGAGCCACTGTCCCCTGTCTGCTTCCTACTTGCTTCTCAGAGCCAGAGAGTTTCAGATGAGCCTCAATGTATCCCAGACAGCTCTCAGCACCCAGGAGTAACTAAGCTCTCAGCACCTGGGGTGACTAAGCTCTCAGCACCTTGGTTTCCTCATCTGCAGAATGGGTCTGGCAGCAGTCACCCCGTCCCAGGGGGTGTGGATACAAGTGTTGACTTCACCCTGGGCCCAGGCCGCCACCGGGTGGCCCCCAATTATGTGCCCTCGTCACTGGGGTGTGAACTCCAGGCCTCATGTCCCAGCACGTGCCTGGCAGGAATCTGGGCCAAGAAGCAGGTGGGGTTCAGTGGGGCCGGATGGGCACTGGCTGTTTCCTTGTCTGTGGGGTGGGGTGGGGAAGACAGTCGAGACCATGTGGAGTAGCAGAGGGTGCCTGGGATCAAACCTGCAGCCTGGCCAGGTGCTCTACTACGGAGCGATGCCCCCAGACTGGATGAGATACACTTGCAGGCGACCCCACCTCCCCTTCCCTGGACCAGATGGGTGGATCACTGTCCTGGGCTGTGGTTTTGGGCCTCTGGCCCTTGCGTACCTGGGTCAGGTGTGGCCAGCCAGGCTGTGCTGTGGGTATCTGGCAGGACTGGTTCCTTCGCCACTCTACTTCCTCTTCACCACCTCCTGCCCCTCACACCTGACCTGCAGGGAGGAGGCCTCGGTTGTCCATGTGGCTCACCACATGGGCATGGGAATGGGGTGCAGGCACCCTGGGGAGCCCTAGCTGGGTGGCTGCCTCCCTCTCTGTCCCTGTGTCCTTGGGGTAGCTCACCTCCTCCACGACACCCCTTAACCCCTGCCAGGAGATCTGTCTCTAGGTTCTTTCTTCCCTCCTCCCCCTTGAGTTTCTGGGGCGGGAAAGTCGGGGTCCCTGAGGGCGGGATCCCGGGTGGTGAAAGTGGTGAAGCAGGAAGCGGCAGGACCCAAATTCCTCCCACCCCTCCCCGCATAAAGAGAATTTAGGGGGGAGGAAGGGGGCCTCATTAGGGAACCTTTTAATCCTGCTGCGCAGGCTGTTAACGAGACCGATGGGCCTCATTAGAGCCCAGAGCCCTGGCATTAGCTCTCGGGGGCCCTTGCCGCTCCCAGGGTGAGCCTGGGTCCTCAGGTGGCCCTGCGGAAATTAGGGCAGGGGGTGCGGGCAGGTGAGGAGGGGCTCGGCGTCCTGGGGGCAGGAAGGGGCTGTGGGATGGCAGGGTGGGGCCCCCTGATTCCGGGCTGAGGGAGGAGGGGCCAGGGGCCCGATCCTGCCCCCCTCAACACACCCCCCTCGGGGAGCGGCCGGCCGGGGCGCCCCGCCTCCTCCCGCCGCGGGTCACCCCGGGCCCCAAGGAAGAGACGGGACAGTCGCCCGGACCGAGGCGGAGGATGGCGGAGGACCGGGAGCCCCGCGGGGCCGGTGCCCGCGCCCTGGAGGACGAGCCCGCCAGCCCGCGCGAGCCGCCGTCGCCGCCGCCGCTGCCGTCGCCCGTGGCGCCCGGGACCCCCGAGACCCCCGAGCCGCCCCAGCCCGAGCCGCCGACCGAGGCGTACGCGCGGCAGCTGCTACTGGAGGAGTGGGGGTCGCCGGGGGTGAGCCTGGAGCTGCCCCCGCGCCTCTCCTGGAAGCTGCTGCTGCTGCGGCGGCCGCTTTACCGCAACCTGCTGCGCTCGCCCAACCCCGAAGGTGCGCGCCCGCCCGCCCGCCTGCGCCTCTGCCCGCGCGCGCTCTCGGGCTCCGCTCCCCTCCTCTCTGCCTCCGCCACTCTAGGCTGGGTTTGGGTTTGGGGGCCACAGCCCGCGATGCCCAGGACTTACCCCTGGCTCTGTGCTCAGGGATCACTCCAGGCGGTGCTCGGGAATCCGAGCCGGGGCTGCCGTGTGCCAGGCAAGCGCCCTACCCGTCTGCCCTCGCTCTCGCTCCCCTCGGCCTCTCTGTTTCTCTTCTCCCAAGCGGTGCTCAGGAGCCCTGAGGGTCGCTTCCAGAGGGTTTGTTTGGGAGCCACCCCCCGGACATGTTCAGGTGTTACTCCTGGCTCTGTGCTCAGAGATCACTCCTGGCGCTGCTCGGGGATCCAAGCCGGGGCTGCCATGTGCAGGCAAGCGCCCTACCGGCTCTGCCCTTACTCTCGCTTCCCTGGGCCTCTCTCTTTTTCTTCTGGCGGGTGGGGGGAGCCCTCTAAGGGGTGCTCAGGAGCCCTGAGGGTCATTTCCAGAGATTTGTTGGTTTGTTCGTTTGGGGGCCACATCCGGCAATGCTCAGGGGTTACTCCTGGCTCTGCACTCAGGCATTACTCCTGCTGGTGCTCTGGAAACCATCTGGACTGCCGAGGATCGAACCTGGGTGGGCCAAGTGCCAGGCAAGCAGCCTCCCCACTGCCCACTGCCCACCATACTATTGCTCTGGCCCCACTTCCAGAGATTTATTTATGAATTTATTTATTTTTGCTTTTTGGGTCACACCCGGTGATGCTCAGAGGTTACTCTGTACTCAGGAATCACTGCTGGCAGTGTTCAGGTGACCATATGGAATGCTGGGAATCAAACCTGGGTTGGCCATAGGCAAGGCAAACGCCCTACCCGCTGTGCTGTCGCTTCAGCCCCAACCACCTCCAGAGTTTCTTGACCAATGGGGTCAGTGGTAAAAATGTGAAGTCCCTGAGAATAGGTATTGTCAGGGACCTGCAGTGCCGGGGGGTCCTCTGGGCCACCCTAGTCATGCTCAAGGGACTCCAGGGTCATTGCTCAGGGGCTTTCATGCAGGGCTGCACCCACGGGTGCTCAGGGGGTCATAATGGTGTCTGACCTGGAGACAGCACCATGCAGGGCAAATGTCTTAACCTTCATCCTCTCTCCGCCTGCTCTGCTAGTCTTCTCTCTCACACATGGCACCCGTTCTCTTGGGCCTTGGGCATTTTGCTCTTTGTTTTGTTTGGGGGAACACCCAGGGTGCTCAGAGCTTACTCTTGACTCTGTGCTCATGGATCACTCCTGGCATGGCTCAGGGAACCCTATGGGATGCCAGGGATCAAATCCAAGCCAGCCACTCAGGTGAGACAAGCGCCCTACCCACTATACTATCCGGCTCCCTTATTTAGTCACTCATTCATTCGTAGATTTTAGTCCCCTTCTCCTGAGAACCTCTCCCTGCGCCCCATCTGTGCCTACTCCCCCTCCCCCCAGGACCTTCTCAGTGCTCCCAGCCCTGACTTACTCATTCCCGCCAGGCTGGCCCTGCCCAGCTGGCAGAACAAGGATTCCTGCCCTGCCACAGAGCCCTGGGGGCAGGATATGAGGGGTGTGTATGTGTGTATATGGCGGGGGGGGGGGTGTTCCTGCCCTCCTGAGGCGCCACCCTACCCCTCTACATTTCAGGCATCAACATTTATGAGCCAGCACCCCCCGTGGGTCCCACCCGGAAGCCCCTGGAGACCCTGGGTAAGCGCTTGGCGGCTGCCCCTAAAACGGGGGCTGGATGGGGGTAGACGGGGAGAGGTGCTCCTCTCACCGCAGACCCCTCCTCCTCCCAGGCAATTTCCGGGGGTGGCACATCAGGATCGAGAACCTTCAGCAGAACCTTAGGTGGGTGCCCACCCTGCCCCATGACCTGCACTCGAGTCTTTCCCCACTCTATTCTCGCTGAGGGGTCTCCCACAGAAACGGACTTGGCATCTCTGAGCCTCCATCTGCTGCTCTGTGAGCAGGGAGCCAGGGTGCTGGGGAGGGGGACAGTGTGAAACCAGAGGGTGAGGGGCCAGCAAAGAGCTGCTCTGAGGGTGTCCCTCTCAGCCACTTTTCTGGGACAGCGAAGAGTCGCCCCGCTCTTTTTTCTGTTATTTCCCCTGGAAAAGGGTTTGAGCCACACTCGGTGCTGCTCATGGCTGAACTCAGGCATCACTCCTGATGCAGCTCAAGGGACCCTATGGGGTGCCCGGGAATGAACCCAGGTCAATTAAAGGCAAGTGTCTAACCCCCAGTACTGCCACTCCAGCCCCCCTCCCAACTTCTTGGCCTTTACTCAAATCTGCTTTTGCTCGTGGAAGAGAAGGTGTGCCTCCAGGGCTCCCCTGAGCCCCTCCTGGAGTGGTCCCTGAGCACAGAGCCAGGAGTCAGCCCTGAACACTGCCGGATGGATCCCTCAAACCAAACCAAATGAACAGAAGCCGAAAGCATTAGGGCCCAGGACAGAGGGTGGTGGGTCCATAAGCCAAAAGTCTATATGTGGGACCCGGGGCGCCCCACGGGCCCTGTGCTCAGGGGGTTCTGCTCCTGCAGCTGGACCGTGAAGCAACAGTGCCTGGACCTCCTGGCCGAGGGCCTGTGGGAGGAGCTGCTGGATGATGAGCAGCCGGACATCACCATCATGGACTGGTAGGTGCCCCCGGCAACCCCAGAAATCAAGTCTTGTCTCCTGGACCCCCTGACTCCTATCAGGCCCTGCACTACTGGGTCCGGCCTTGGCTGCCTCTTTGGCCCCTTTCAACAATTATTTTCAACCTCCCCCCATTTAGTTATTTAAGCCCATACAGGGTCACAGTGCACATTTTGAGAATCTTGGGGAGACAGGTGCATAGCCCTGACCTTCGGCCCCAGCTGTGTCACTTGGATTCTGGGCTGGGCTGTCCCCGTCCCCACTGGGTGCGGGCAGGGGCCAGTGGTCATGGTGAACGGGATGGAAGCGGCGGTGGCAGCTGGAGGCTGGGCCTGCTCCCAGGTACGAGGACAGCCACCTTGACGAGAGCGTCTACGAGCTGCACGTCTGGCTGCTGGCTGCTGACCGCCACACAGTCCTCGCCCAGCATCACGTGACACCCCGCACCTCTGCCAAGGGGCCCCCCGGTCGCTGGATCCAGGTGAGGCTCTGTGACCTGGGTGGCTGCAGCCAGCACATGTGTAAGGTCCTAAGAGCTCATAGCAGGAGGGGGTGGGCAGTGGCAACCCCGGACCTGATGGGGACAGGACAAGGCCGGTTGCCCTTTCACAGGTGTCCCACGTGTTCCGCCACTATGGCTCGGGCGTGCGCTTCGTCCACTTCATGCACAAGACCAAGAATCGGATGGAGCCTGGTGGGCTGCTGCGGACCCGGGTGACCGACTCCTCCGTGTCAGTGCAGCTCCGAGAGTGACAGGCTGGGTCTGTCTGGCCAATCCCAACACTCCGACCCTGAGCACCTGACCCTGAGTACCCAATCCCTAGCACCCCAACCCTAGCACTCCAACCGTAGTGCCCCTAGCACTCCAACCCTAATCACCCAACACCTAGAACCACAGAGCCTAGCACCCCAACCCTAGCACCCCTAGCACCCCAACCCTAGCACTCGAACTCCTAGCATCCCACCCCCTTAGAACCCAAATCCTAGCACCCCAACCCTAGTACCTCAACCCTGAGCACCCCAACCTCTAGAGCCCCCTGGCCTAAGTACCACACAATCCCTAGCACCACTGACTTAAGCAACCCACCCCCTAGCACTTCAGCCCCAGGACCCTGACCTTGAGCACCCTGACCCCCATACCCTTTGACCCTGTAAATCCCCCACCCAGAATACCCTGGCTTCTGGCACCCCCTAATCCCAGCATCCTGACCTTGAGCACCCCCTGACCCTGAGCACTTCAATTCTGAGTACCCCTGATCTCAACACTCCTGGTCCCAGCACCCTGACCTCAACCACCCCTGACCCTGAGTACCCCTGGCTCCAAGCACCCCCAACACCCCTTGACCCAGAGCACCCTGTGACCCTGATCACCCTTGCCTCCACATACCCCTAACCTCGAACATCCCTTGATTCCTGTCCCCCCGGCCCTTAGCACCCCCTGATCCTCTTAACATCTCCCTGAGCCAGTAGCACCTCCCTGTTCCCTCAATCCCTCCCAAAGTCCCCGAGCCCCCAGATCCCTCAGTCCCACCTGGCACCTGGCTTCTCACGTCCCGAGTGTGTGTCCCACTGGCGTTTCCCTGCTACTCTCACAGCCCCGTGAGCACCCAGCTCCTTCCTCCCGGGTCTGTGCTTTGCCAGTGTTCCATGCGCAATAAAGCTTTGTGGGTCGGATTAAACAGTGTATGTGCTGACGGGGCAGGGACACCCATCTTGGTTTATAACTGCACCAGCGTAACAGTATTTCTGGATCCTGGCCAGAACCTCGGCACCAACCTGGACCATATACCCCAGTGGATGAAGTGGATGTATTCAGGATCTTCACTTAACTCTTTTTGTCTGACTCTTTTTTTCTCTGTTTATGTCTCTCTCTGTCTTTCTCTGTGTCTCCCTCTGTCTCTGTCTCTGTCTCTGTCTCTCTCTCTCTCTCTCTCTCTCTCTCTCTCTCTCTCTCTCTCGGGGCCACACCCAGCACTGTGCTTGGTCAATCCTGACAGTGATCCTCATGGCATGGGTTGCCAGGGATCAATCTTGGACCTCCTGTGAGGGAGCTTTCTGCCCCCTCAATCTTCTGTGGGCAGGGGGTCTAGGGATCAAACTCAGACCCTCACACATTCAAAACGCAAGCTCTACCACTCAGTGACATTCGGGCTTTCCCCTATTTTTTTTCTTTTTGGGTCACGCTCGAGGATGCTCAGGGGTTACTCCTGACTCTACACCCAGGAATTTCTCCTGGTGGTACTCAGGGAACCATTTGGGATTCTGGGGATCAAACCCAGGTTGGTTGCATGCAAGGCAAACACCCTACTGGCTATACTACTATTTTGGCCCATCCCCCGTAACTTTCAGCTCTGAGTCTCCCTGAATTCTCCCCCCCCCCCCATGTCCCTACTCCCACACAGTGCCCCTCTCTCCCCTTCCCAGCAGACCCTTTCTGTCTCTAACTCCTCCAGGGCTCCCAAACCAGGAATCCACCAAGAGGTGTGACCCCCTGATGGAAGACGGACAGACGCAGCAGAGAACAGACCACAAATCTCCAAATTCAAGTGTGTGAATGCGTGTGCGAGTGTGTATGTGTGTTTGGGTGGTAGGCGAAAAGTGTTGCGTGCTAAGGCCAGGGAATCATGTCCTCCATGCTGTCCCTGCCAGAGGAGAGGGCTTGACCCAGATTTAAGGGAGAATTTCCGCATTTACCAAACAGCCTGTAGCATGAGGATGAGTCACATGGAAATCCTTCAGGGCTGTGACTTCATGCATGTGGAAAGCCATGCCACTTTCTAGTGTGGGGACAAGCCATGTATGGGCTGAGCCAGCCTTGGTCCTGGAGTCCCTAGTCCCAAGCACACACGGATGGCGGACAGAGTGTCACAAGGGCTGTATTGTAGGCACAGCAGGGTGGAGGCAGGGGTTTCCTCCTAGAGCCATGCTGGGACCTTCAGGGGACCCTGGGGACAGGTCAGGTCAGGGATGCAGCACTCAGGGGCAGGTGGAGATACAGGATCTCAGAGGCATCAGTAGCACCTGCAACAGAATCAAAAAGGATCACCAGGGGCTCGAAGATTTAAGGTATGGAAGGTTCTAAAAGCCTGAGATAGGGTGGGAGACCAGGCTAGGGAGGGTAGCTAGGTGTCCGGTCGCAGGGTCTGAGTTGGGAAACTCCAGCGCAAGATTGGGGTGAGGCCCCCACAGTGAGGTGGGGAAGGCTTGCAGAAACTTCTTAGGGATGCTGGAACTCGTGTTCCAGTCTGAGGCTCATCGGGAAGGTCTAGGGGTTTCTGCGTCGGGCCACGAGGGCGACACAGGATATTCCTAGAATTGGGTTGGGACCAGCTTCAGGGCTGGGATTGCAAAGTCTGCGGGTAACGCGGATGGTTCTGGGGCTCCCCACCCCCATGCTAGGGTGGTGAGAGCAGACGGAGGGGGATGCTAAGGGTTGGGGTGCTGGGGGTTCTGGGTCGGGAATTTGGGAGATGGGGCTGAGGGCTTGCGGGGCAGGGGGCGGCTGACTGCGTTCCGGGGACTCCGGGGTCGGGTCGGGGCTGGGCGGGGCGGGGTCACCTGCAGTGGAGCGCGGAGATGGAGTCGGCCCAGTCGCCCAGCACGCCGCGCCGATACTCCTCCAGACGCGGGTAGGTGCCGGAGCTGAACTTGCGGGTCTTCCCCTCCTTGCCGCGGCGCGACCACACGGTGAGTTCGCAGCGCGGGGCCACCACCAGCGACGAGGCCACGTTGCCCCAGTTGGAGGGCAGGAAGGGCAGGTCGGCGCCGGGCTCCACGGCCAGCTGCGCGCCCTCGCAGCAGTTCTCGTAGTAGGGGTCGCTCTTGTCGAAGAGGATGGCGCAGGTGCGCGAGCCGTCGGCGTGCTTGAGGTCGGCGGGCGCCGGGCAGGCGCCGCGCGCGGTGGGCACGGCCGTCAGGGCCAGGAGCAGCAGCCAGGGGCACAGGGGGGCCATGGCGTCAGTGCGGGGGCCCTGCCTCCGCGCGCTTTTATGCGCCTGGCCCGTGGGAACCGAAAAGCTGGGAGATAAGGCTGGGGAGGGGCGCACCTGTCTCCCCCGGGAGTGGGGAGGCCGTCCCAGCTGCGGCTGGAACCCGGCCACCCAGGACTCCCAAGCTGAGCATATTCCTCCCAAACGGAGCTGCCTTATTTGCGCCTTGCGCTTGCAAAGCATCAGCCCTCTCCCCCTCCCCCACCCCCCTAGTTCAGGCCCGCGGGGGGCCCAGCGGCTGCAAGGCCGGGGCCCAGCGGAGCGGGTGGGAAATGTCCTTGAAAACTGACCAGGAATGGAACAAGCCCGCTTCCAAATAAGATGCGAAGTGCCCTTGGGAATGGAGAAGCTGGTGATAAGGAGAGAAAGGCCCCGGAGGGAAGGGGAGAAAAATGGGGCTCCCTGACCCCAACCAGAGACCCTCTTGACTAAAGGCAAATGCTATAGCTTTTTGGATCACACCTGGGTGGTGTGCAAGGCAAACCCTCTGCCCACTGTACTAACCCTCCAGCCGAAGTTAAATGCTTTTTTGTTTTTGTTCTGGTGATGTGTCTGGGGTGAAACCCAGGACCTCACACAGCACAATGGGTCTGCCATCCCCTGCTGAAGTTCACACCTGGGTTTTAATTGGAAGATTGGAAGGGGGTGGGGGGGGCGCTTAGCACACCCAGCAGTGCTCAGGGCTTACTCCAGGTCCTGAGCTCAGAGATCTCTCCTGGTGGGCTCAGGGGACCCTATGGGGCACCCAGGATCAAACCCAGGTTGGCCACACACAAGGCAAGCATCTTCCCTGTTGTCCTACGGCTCTGGCCCCTGGTCATTCATAAAAGTGAACCTTGCTTGCTGGTTGTCCCTGAACAAGTGAATGCACCTCTCTGAGTTTGTTTTCCTCTGTCTTCAGTAGAAAGTGACTCAGCGATAGTACAGAGGGTAGGGGTTGTTTGCATGTGGCCAACTCAGTTTGATCCCCAGCACCCCATAAAGTCCCCCACCAAGCCTGCCAGGAGTGACTCCTGAGTCAGGAATAACCCGAGTATCACTGGGTGTGGCCCAGAAGTAAAAAAAAATAGTGACTTTAGGATGTAAGGTAGTTGTGTAAGTAATGCATGACTGATACAATAAAACATCATTTAAGGGCCCAGGGCAATGACTCAGTGGCAGGGGCATGTCTTGCATGTGCATGGACCAGAGTCTGATCCCTTGCCACTCATGCCTCCCCCCACTGCCTCACCCTGCTCTTGGATAAGGTCCTGGAGGCCCCCAGCACCGTCAGCCTGAAACACTGCTTCACCCAGCATGGAACCACGTGGGTCTAGCTCATCGTACCCCAAGCACTACTTTGGAACACACCCCCACCCCCAAACATGCTCACCCAGCCACCTTGCTTTTTACAAATACAACACAATGCACCCATAACAATAGTATGGTTCTGTTTTGCTTTTAAGGGTGCTTCATGCGGCAGTGTTCATTCAGGTCAGGGGGACCATATAGGATGCAGGGGATTGAATTTGAGTCCATCGTGTGCAAGACAAGTGCCCTCCCTGCTGTGCTTACACTCCAGCCCCTGACAAGAGTAAGGAAGTAGCAGGTGCCAGGCCCAGGCTGGCACGAGGGAGGGGCTCCAGATGTAGCCCCCTACCCTGGCTGACCCTGCCTGAACTCACTCCTGGATCCTTCTCCCTCCTTTCTTCTCCTGATTCTGGGAAATCTAATCTCCAGCTGCTAACTTCTCAGCGGGCCCCTCCCCCTGCTCTGTAAGAGCCCCAGGCTCAAGGTTGGAGGGTCAGTTTAGCACCCCCAGGCACCCTTGAACCTCACTCACCTGGAGAATCTGAACTTCAGACAGAGGGAATATGGGTTGGGGGCCAGCCAAACAGGGAGGCTGAGCCAGGGCCAGGAACACAGCCGGGATCAGGGCATCAGGGAGCAGCCAGGACATGCACTAAGCACCCCCAAATCCAGGGACAGGCGCACGGTCAGGGGCCGGGACACCCCCTTCCTACAATCAATTACTGAGGTTTGTGGGCAAGCACTAGGGAAGGGCCTACTTGGGGTGTGGGCACTTGCCTGAGACTGTCCCAAGAGAGTGACAGTTCCATTCAAACCACATTCCTACACGGTGTCCGCCCGTAGCCCCAGCCCCTCACTGCTCTCACCCAGAGCTCTGCAAATCTCAAACTTGCCACCACATCTGATGTGGCCTCCATGAGCCCCCCAACACACACACACACACACACACACACACACACACACACACACACCCTTTCGTCCAGGATAATCTTGTTTATTAACACCAAACTGGGTAAATAGTAGAAAAATAAACAGTCCTTTATCACACATTTTTTTTCTTCAAATGTCTTGCCCTTGAGCAACTCAGAAACTCTTAAGAAAGTCAGACAGCAAATCAATAATTCAAACACAACGGGAAAAACGTTCTACCAGGAGTGCCGCAGAGGACACTGGGAATAAAAGAGGAAGAAGAGCAGGTTAGGTTTTTCCCTCCCCGCTCAGAGATTGTGATTCATGTCATAAGGGAAAAAGAAAATAATCCTCTTTACAGACTTCACAACCTTGATTTGACATTTGTCAACAGCCCATAAAAAAAAGAGATGGGGAAACTCAGTGAGTTTGTGGCCAGAAGGAAAGGGAATCCTTGTTCCCCACAGGGGGAGAGAAAGAACATTTTAAGGAGCTCGAGATTGATTGCTGGACCTGTAGCAAGGAAAAATTTTAGATCAGCACTGGTCAGACTTTTTTATATGGTCACTTCCTTTTTTTTTTTTTATTAAACCACTGTGAGATACACAGTTATAAAGTTGTTCATGATTGGGTACCAAACATACAAGATTCCAACAGCTGTCTCTCATCACTGCACATTTCCCAGCACCATACATAGTTACTCTATTTTATTTAAAATTTTTTGTTTCGGGGCCACACCAAACCGTGCTCATGGGTTACTCCTGACCCTATATTTAGGAATCACTCCTGGAGGTGCTCAGGGTACCATATGGGATGCCGGGGATGGAAGCTGGGTTGGCCATTTGCAAGGGAAACACCATACCCGCTCTACTATTACTCTGGCCCCTATGCATGACCACTTTAGTTATTATTTATTTACTTATTTTTTTTAAAGAGAACTTTTATTTATTTACAGGTGATGCTCAGGGGTTACTCCTGGTTCTGAACTCAGGAATTACTCCTGGCAGTGCTCAGAGAACCATATGGGATGCCGGGGATCAAACCTGGGTCGGCAGCATGTAAGGCAAATGCCCTCCCCACAATACTATCTCTCTGGCCCCCACATAGTCACTTTAAGGGGCATTTTAACATCACTGTTGAGTGCCATACCTGACATGTGTTTCAAACACAGGATTCACAGATGCCTTGCATGTACTCTGCAGCTGAACCCCAGCTGTGACCCTTGGTTTCATTTTACTTATTTTCGTTTGGGGGTCCCCACCCTGTGGTGCTTGGGAGACCCTGAAGTGCTGCAAATGGAGCTGGTCTCTTATATGTGCTCAGTCTCTGAAGCTATCTTTCTGACCCACTTGGTGGTGTTCTTTGTTTTTTGTGGAGGTGAGTGTTTGGGGGCACACCTAGCAGTACCTGGAGGGCTGTTTCTGGCTTTGTGCCAGGACTGATCCCCGGAAGTGCTCAGAGAACCATACATAGTGCTGGAGATTTGAACCAGGGCAGGCCACATGCTGCAAGGAAGCACCTTAATCTCTGTTCTCTCTCTTTCTCTCTGGTTTGGGGGCCACACCAGGTGTTGCTCAGGCCTTCCTCTTGACAGGCTTGGAGAACAATATAGGGTGCTGGGGATCAAATCCAGGTTGTCTGTGTGCTGAGAAGCACCCTCTCTCCAAAACCATCTCTGACTGACTGCGCATGGTACTGAAGGGCTAATATGACCCTCTGAAGCAGGCAGCACCATGGGCTCCGGGAACTGTGGTTCTCCAAATATGGTCCCTGATCCCTTCTCCTGAAACCACAGAAATTCAAATTCCCAGCCCCACCGTGCATGAGAAACTCTATGGGATGGGTCTCCCCTATCAGAATTTTATCTGTTGTTGAGTCATACCTGGAAATTTTCAGGTTACTCATGGCTCTGCTGTAATTCTGTTATTCAGGAATCATTCCTGGTGGTGCTCAGGGAACCTTATGGTGTTCTGGGATTCGAACCCAGGTGGGCTGCGTGCAAGGCAAGCGCCCTCCTGGCTGTGCTATATATTTCTCCACCCCAACCTGAGTTTCAAAGCCCTCCTGGTAATCCTACTGCATGCTGGAGTTTAAGAACCTTTGGAATAGGGTTTTGGTCTTTGAAGGCTGCTGGTTACTTACATCTGGAGCTGAGAGTGTCTTCCAGACCTCAACTTTCTCTGAAATTTCTATGAAGGTTAGTGCCTATAATTTTACCAATTAAAAATAACTCTGTGTGTGTGTGTGGGGGTGTGTGTTACAGAGAGATAGTACAGCTGGGTAAGGAGCTTGCCTACATCTTACAGTGAGGTGTAGGGAGATTGCTTTGCCTTGCATGTAGTAGACCTGGGCTTAATCCTAGAACAGCACTGCCAGGAGTGATTCCTGAGTGATTCTTGGGGGTGCCAGGAGTAATCCCTGAGCACAGCCTGGGGTGGCTCCAAAAACAAGCAAGCAAACAAACAAACAAAAAGTTCAGGAAGACTAAAGATAGTACGGCTGGGTAGGGCATCTGCATAGTACAGTGTGGGGAGCATTTGCCTTGCTCACAGCCAACTCAGGTTAGCTCCCCAGCATCCCATATGGTCCCCCAGCCTGCCTGGAGTGATCTCTGAATGCAAAGCTAGGAATAAGGCCTGAGCACAGCCGGATGTGGCCAAGAAACCCCACACAACAACAAACACCCCATTAGCAGGAGAGAGAGAGAGAGAGAGAGAGAGAGAGAGAGAGAGAACACAAGAAGTAAGGCATTTGCTTTAAAAAAA